TCAGAAACGGGGTACGGGGCACTCTGGAAAATGTGTCCCCTTGTTTAGGTGCCGAGTGCTTTTGGAAATCTGACCCCAGTGACGGGTGGTGAGCATGTGAAAAACCCAACCCCAAGGAAGGGCGAACACAACAGGTACTTCCTTACCAGCCGGGAGAGACAGACGGAGCCGGCAGCTGCTAGCTGGGAAAAGGGCACGTTATGGCTCAGGTGAGTTTGAACCACCAGCTCCAGAAAGGCATGCTGGGAACAAAGCTTCTATAAAAGGGCTACCTGGCGCTAGGGCAGTTAATAGGAGCCGAGGCGGGGGACAGGAGAGTTGCTTTGGTGCTGAAATAATGCAAATGAAGCACTAATGGCCCAAAGAGGAACGAAGAGGGAGCCGACAATTCCTGCCTTGTCACTGTTGCCTCTGTACCTAGTAACACAACAGAACGAGTGGGGGGAGGGGGAGATCCCGCTCCAGTACTGGAAACGCGAGCAATGAGCAGCAATGGGCCCAGGACAAACGGTGCCAAAGCAGAGGGGGCTTGTTTCGTTTCTAACCTTTTATTAGTTTCTAGATTAGAAAAAAGAATGAAAATATAAATACATGTGGACCTTGCTCTACGGCAATCGAAGGGCGTCTCTGGAGAAATGCTTACACATCCAGGCCCAGTGAAGAGCAGTCCCTAGGCCACGGTAATAATAATACTTAATCTTCCTGCCACGCGCTCGACAGCGTCTTCCAAGCACTGTTCAAACAGCCGGTGATTAGACCCCCACAACACCCCTGTGAGGTAGGTGCAGGACGTATTATTATCCCCATTTTACAGATGGAGGAACTGAGGGTGAGAGATTAAGTCACTGGCCCATGGCCAGTGTTAGAGCCAGGATTAGCGCTCAGGAGCCCTGGATTCCAGGCGTTCCCAAAGGCTAGGCAGCTGTTCTCAAGCTATGGGGTGGGCCGCCCAAGGGAGGCGCAAGCTGTGAGCTGGGGCTGACAGCACCCGGTGGCTGAGGCTTGTGCAGAAGGGCCGTGCATGCCCGGGAGGTGGGGGGCCACCCAGGCTTGGGCTCTCCCCCCTCCCCAATCCCTCCCCAGGAAGCAGCCCGGACTTGGGCTCTCCTTGGCCCCCACCCCCATCCCTCACCTGGACGTGGTGGGGCTCCGTCTGTCAGCCCCAGGGCGGCAGCAGCAGCACAGAAGTAAGGGTGCTAATGGGGCGCTAAGTCTGCTGTGAAAAGTCACTTTTCACATTGACACCCTTACTTCTGTGCTGCTGCTGACGCTGTGCTGCCTTCAGAGCCAGGCGCCCGGCCAGCACCCGCTGCCCTCCGCTCCGCCATCAGAGCCAGGCGCCCAGCCAGCACCCGCTGCCTTCCGCACCGCCGTCAGAGCCGGGCGCCCGGCCGGCACCCGCCGCCCTCCGCTCCGCCGTCAGAGCCGGGCGCC